AAGATTGATTTGATCTTATTTATCGATCAAAATTATTTTTCAGGTCATAAGAATGTTGCTGAACTTCTACTCAGTAAAGGAGCTAATTATGAATTGAAAAATCATTGGAATAATACAGCCCTTCATTCAGCTGCTAAGAAGGGTAATGTTGATTATTTGTTCTCACTAAATAGCAAAACAGTTTTATTTTTTTTCATCCATCTAAATTATTTTTCAGGTCACAAGAATATTGCTGAACTTCTTATTAGTAAAGGAGCCAATGTTAATGGTGAAAATTATTTGAAAGAGACACCTCTTCATTTAGCTGCTGAGAATGGTAATAATTGGATACTTGTCTTTACCAAATAGAAGATTGATTTGATCTTTTTCATCCATCTAAATTATTTTTCAGGTCACAAAAATGTTGCTGAACTTCTCATTAGTAAAGGAGCCAATGTTAATAATGAAAATGATGTGGAAGAGACACCTCTCCATTTAGCTGCTGAGAATGGTAATAGTTGGATAACTAAAATAAGATTGATTTGATCTTTTTCATCCATCTAAATTATTTTTCAGGTCACAAGAATGTTGCTGAACTTCTCATTAGTAAAGGAGCCAATGTTAATAGTGAAAATGATGTGAAAGACACACCCCTCCATTTAGCTGCTCGGTTTGGTAATAATTGGATACTTGTCTTTACCAAATAGAAGATTGATTTAATCTTTTCATCCATCTAAATTATTTTTCAGGTCACAAGAATGTTGCTGAACTTCTCATTAGTAAAGGAGCCAATGTTAATAGTGAAAATGATGTGAAAGACACACCCCTCCATTTAGCTGCTCGGTTTGGTAATAATTGGATACTTGTCTTTACCAAATAGAAGATTGATTTAATCTTTTTCATCCATCTAAATTACTTTTCAGGTGATATGAGTGTCGCTAAACTTCTCATCCGTAACGGAGCCAATACTGGTATTAAAAATAATGCGAATCGTGTACCCCTTCAAATAGCTGTTAATAATGGTAAAGCTGACTAAATAAGATATCGCTTTGATCTTTTTCATTGATCTGTATTATTTTTAGGTCACAATGAGGTCGCCAAACTTTTTATAGGTAAAGGAAACAAAATTAATATTGCAGAGCAATTGGAATAGATTCAATTGCCTACTAACAATGGTAATGTTGCATATTTTTTCTTCACAAAATAAGAAATTGGTTTGATCTTTTTGATCGATGTGTATTTTTCAGGTGACGAATAGCTGAACCAATTTAGGTGAATAATCGGATGATTTCCTTCGATTCCCCTTTTCGATTGTAGTGTAGAATTAATTTCAAAACATTTTTTTGTCAATCTATAACCATACCAACCAATATTGTTGCTTTGTTGGACCATCGATTAATATTCTGTCAAAAAGCAGCTCAAGTTATTTGACTTTTTAATTGCTCACAGTATAGGTATTGGTATGGAGTAGATTTTTTTTAAATTTTTGTGACCTTAATGTGCATCCGTGCTAAATTTGAATGCGATTTGTTCGAGTCATATGCCGTAGGCATAATCCAAGAACGAAAATAAATCACGAACATTGAGAAGAAAATAGAAA